AGATCAATGGAGATGGTTATGGAAAGAATTTTAGATCGCTCCCAATTTTTTAATTAGTTTTAATATTATTAATAACAATGGAAGTAATGGAAAAAGGTATATTCAACTGAATAAGATCAAAAAATTCCATCACTCATGCTCCCATATCTTAATATCTTCTTGTACCCCCGGCTAATTCAAATCCATTGAATTCTGGGTTCCTGGTTTGAAGGCCCTGAATTGCTTCAGGGCTGTTGGGTCGTCGGTGTACTGATCAATGTGGGCTAGCAATTTTTCTTCGAAACGGAATCTCAGAGTGGAGGCGTCGCGATTTGGCAGAATCTGCAACACATGAAAATCTAAAATCATCAACTTCTGAGGCTTGAGGCTTGAGATCAAGCATTCATTTTACATCAAATTAATTCAGTAGGAGAGGTGAAAACTAAGAATTCTACGCATTCAGATTTTCAAGGACACATTTTCAATTGTCCTTGAATTTAATTGAAACAATTAGTATTCGTACTTTATCGTACGCCATTTCAAACCAAATGCTGGGCCCTTGGATCCTCAGGATTGCCTTCTTGTCGATGAGGTATTTCACGATTTTCTGATCGTCTTCGAATGTGAATCTCACTATTCTGGAACAGATACCATCGAAATAAAAAAAAATATTCAACAATTATAGGTAAATCACTTTGGCGAAATTGTATTGTACTCCAACGTGAAGACAAAATCGATGAATCGTTCAATTCTATAACTCATTATTTGGCAATTATTTTTCCATCGAATTGATGAATTCTCTCACCGTAAAGACTCGTTGTCCTTCGCATTTCCCATCGATTTTTTCTCCAGCAGAGCTGACCCTGAGGATTCCCCTTCCTGCATGATCTGCAGGTCCTTCTGACCCTCGACTTCAGACCTCTGGTGAATCCAGGATTTCAAGAAGTCTTTGGTCCCGACGTAATTATTATCGAGGCCAGCAACAGGTATCTTCTCTACATCAGCCAGATGTCCAGGGAATCTCCAGCAGCTGTTGTTCATAGAATTGTTCTCGAGGTTTGAAGATGAAGTCATGACTTTTTTATCGTTGTTCATTTTACCGAGTGCAGGAGTAACCTCGACAGATTGAAGAGTTGGTGTCTGATTTTTGTGGACCTCTGGGGATAAGTTCAGGGGTTTATCACCCAGGAAGCTGTAGGATGGAGAACCCACGAGGACTGAGCTGTTCAGGTGCTGTTCTGGTACATCCTCCTTCGGTGTTTCGTTGCTCTGCTCCTTGTGGTGCTCACGTCGATTTGAATTGAGAAGCTGTAAGACTTGAGATCTGGGTTTTCTTCTGGGAATCACTGGTGAGATTAAATATTTTCCAATGTCCTGACGTCTGTTGAATTTGATACTGTCGTACAGCCATCTGATATCAAACTTGAGCCATTGGCTTCCTCGGGGACGATCTGGTCTCGATAAGATAAGGGTCCTCTCATTGGGAGGTGTTACTTTTCCTCCGTAACTATGAACTAATCCAGCTGTCCTGAGGAAATCCAGGACTTCGAAGCCATCGAGATAGACTTCGATGGGAATTTTATTCGCCACGAGCAATTGACAATCGCCATTACCTCCGATTTTCTCTGAGTTATTCCAGTTATTCGTCATTTTTATTTATTATGATCCTGATTTGGCTATCGGTCCTGCTTTTGGCTTGTAAACTGTTTATTTTATGGTTTTCAATAAACAAAATGCCGGCACTAGCTGATTTTTGTTTACATCAGGTCCAGCCAATGGCTATCAAGATGTACAGACGCTCATGAAATTCAAATTTTAAAAAATAGGGCTTCAAAATATTCTCGTGAATTATTCATTTTGAATGGTTTGGAACAAGTTAAAAATTTTGGAAATAATTTGCGAAACTTTGTTTTTAAAATAGATCATAAAAAACCCTTAAAACCAGGAGAAATACAAAAATAAAAATAAATTCGTCATAATTCCAGGGGATTTCAGATCTCCAGATGATTTCAGATCTCTGTAAAACCGAAAAAACGTTCAAATACTTTGGAAGTTAGAAAAATCTGAAATTTCTCCAAAACTGACTAAAAATATGAATTGTCGCGTTTATTATTCTTTGTTGTATTGCCTGCCTTGACGACTGCCCCTAAATCTTCACCGACGCTCAAAACTCCACGCAATCTACCTTACCAACATCACCTTCAATTTAAAAATATTCGAAAATCCATAGCCACAGATATAGAATAATGCAATCCCGAGATATCCAGAGTGAATAAAAACAATATAAACCGCAGTGAATCAGGCAATAAAATCCGACCCCAGTAATGACCGTCTGAAAGTATGGGGAAGTAATAAAAATTCCCTCGAATAATTCAATATAGTCCCCATCATCCAGATCCCTTGGAACGACGGGAAAAGACGAGGCGACCCTTTGGCGATGAAAATCGATGACTCCTCCCCTGTAAATCCCAGTTCCCCTTGAAAGCCGATAAATAAATTCGCCCTTATGCCACCCTATGAGACATTCAGAGAACCGGTCGTCTCACAATATGAGAAATTTTATTTTACTTCATCTTCTCCCTCTCCTTCCTCACTCTAAGGCTCTGCAATATCTCGTAATGCGCTAGTTTATTTTCTTTTATAAGATTAATAATAACGATTGGTAACAAATAATGGAAATTCCCAACGAAAACTACAAAAAAATAAACGAAAAAAAATAGGAACCGGAAAATAGGGCAGACGATCCCCAATTCCATTTTATACTCTCCTCCCTGAATTCATTGATGAGAAAGTAGCTTTCTCTCAAATCCTCATTCTTCCTCAATTTTCCCATCAACCAACCATTAATTCCACCTAAATTAACCTCATAGAAGATAATAAACCGCTCAAGTAATCTTAAATCCCCTCGAAGCCCGAGATTCATCGGGTACGCATGCGCCATAGATCCCCCCACCCCGAAACCGCATAATCCGCTTCCCGCCCGCCCCCGTAAACCACAAAATGGAGGCCTTAACTCCACTAATCACCTCCGTTATTCCCCGTTGTCGTTAATGACCGGTTTATCGCGCCCTAAACAGCCTCCCGTTATCAATCGCAACGGATCGATCAAGTTGCAATCCAGTGCCACAAAGTTTTTTAACTAAAGAGGACGCGCCTGCGCGTGCGCCTCTGCGCGAGATTCAACGCGCCATCGGTTCTGAATCCATTCAACCCAGTTAACAATACCAATTTCCAGTTAACAATACCAATTTGTTTCCATAAATGCAAACAAACTAGTGATTTCCATCAGCCTCTACCACCACGCATACAAAATCACCGTCAACCCTGAGAGGGAAGATTTATTATTTTCACGAAGAGTCACTTAACTCTCGACTTCTATATGAATGGATATTAATGAGATACCGGGAGTTAAAGTACTCTTTTATGCGCTAATTTATAATTTAGATGAACTATATCAACATGGTGATGGTTACTATGCTAACATAACTATGCTCCGTGGTATTCATTTTCGTGTTTATAATAATTTTAAAACTATGTTCGAGTTTTTATGTTGGAATTGTAACTATTATTTTTCCAGGTGTGAGGTGAATCGAGGGGGTGCTTAGGGGTTAATCGGGCATGCTGCATATTTTCATAGTTTATTAATTACCACTTTCATAGTTTACTATGGGGCAATTAATAAGCTGTGGCCACATTCAGAGGACTCAGTATAATTAATAACTTTATCATGTTCCATAGGAACTCATACCACATGTCACTATTTCCATGTTCATAGTTTACCTCTGCACCGAAATTTTCGGACGGTAATTTGATGAAAGATTGAGTCGAAGTGGAATGAATGAAGAGGTGCATAGTGGAGGGATAATCGGACATGCTCTGTAGTAGTGAACTATGGAAAAAATAATGAACTATGGCCACATTTACGGGGCATCATAAATTTATCAGTTCCACAGTAATTTATGTCCCATATAGTAACTATCGCTATGTTCATAGTGACCACTGCACCGAAATTTTCGGATGGTAATTTAATGGAAGATTGAGTCGAAGTGGAATGAATGAAGAGGTGCATAGTGGGGGGATAATCGGACATGCTCTATAGTATTGAA